CCCTGAGTGTGTCCCTTATGGATCTGAGGAGTTGTAATCTGGATGGTCCCACTCTGACCCCTGGGTACACTGGCTCTTGGATCTCTAAGGAGGTGCTAATTTAGTCTCTGCCTGAGGCTACCTAGCAGGAGCTCAGCTGTGAAGGAATGCAATTTGCAGTTGGTTAGGTAATTTTCAGATTGCAAAGGGCCAAGCCTTTCATATGCAAAAGCTGGCGCACAACTTGGGCGGGGCGGTGTCCCAGGGGATCAACAGGGTGGAGCAAGCAGCTATGGCTGCTCCTCAGTCCTGTCCTAAGAGGCCCTGCTTCTCAGTGTTCCGGTAATCGCTGCAAGCACCTCCTAGAGAAAGCTGCCCTCGAGGTCTGACCAATGCCAGACAGTCTATCTCTACCCGTATGAGTCTGGGTCCCCAGAGACTCGCCTGGAACTGGAGTTCAGAGCAGTCGGGAGCTTGAGACTCCCTCCCAATTGAAAAAGACAACCGTGTCCTCAGCCGCCAGCCCTTTCCACATGTGCCTCCGTACCTCTGCCCTTTACTTCCGTACCTCCTCTGAGTCTTGGTATGCTTTTCTCTTTCCTTCTAGTTGTAGAATTTCCACTCAGCCAGGCTTCCTGTGGTTCTGGATGGTGTCTGTTTTATCTTTTAGTTGTAGTTTTGAAGTTGTTGTGGGAGGCAGCAATTTCCGGTGTTTACCTATGCCGCCATCTTGGTTTCTCGGGACTGGCTTCTTGCTGGGGCCACTGTTTGTGGGAGGTGGCTGTCACAACACAGCATAGGGAAAGAAGTTTTCATGTAGAGTGTGGGGAAGAGATAATCGTTTTGCAGTGGTCAAGGCCTTTAAAGGATGAGTGGACCTGAGATTAAATGGAGGCCAAAGAGTAATTCAAACATGAGACTAGGGCTGGTACATAACATTTCTAAACTCTCACCAGGATTTTGTTGTGACCCTTGTTGTGTCCTGGCTGTGGGGAGTTGCAGTCAGTCTTGTGGATTAGCTAAGAGGCTTGAGTGGTCATCTGTGAGACTCACTGGGCATGCTGCAGAGGGCCATCGGGGCTGGGACTTGATTGAAGGTTAAGGGAGAGATGTTGGCTGTGACTAGTGAAGGGAAATCAAGTGCAACATCACAGGAGGTGGGCTATGGATATCTGAGATCTGATTGTTGTTCTTAATAGTTGAGGTTGAAGAAAAAAAACAGTCAAGGCCTACATAGCAAGACACAAGACTGCCTCTATGAGTGAGGACTATCAGAGTCTGGTCAGTGCTTGATCCTGTTTTAATTTGGCAACCATCCTCTGGAGCACACATGCTGAGTAATAAGTAAAAGGCCAGGAGATGAACATGGGGGCTGGGACTGTGGGAGTGCAGGTTTGAGTGAGGTGTGGTATAAAGAGTGATGTGCACTTGGAGAGGGAATGTGAATTCATGGCCACAGCACCCTGACATTGACATAAGAGTGAATGAAGGAAGAGTGTATTTCTGGTGATGCCTGGATGTAACAAGAAGGTGAATTTTAGGATAATTGCCTGTAAAGAGGGGTGTGCTACATTCTAGGTTAAGAGCTTAGGTGCTGTTTAACTAACCACCTGCCTTTTGTTGTTGGGAGTGACACACTGGTTGATGGGAATGAGGTAGCATTCATCAGATTTACCCAGGCTTGTAAATCTCCACTGGCATGGGTAAGGAAGAAGGGTAAGAGAGAACGAGATTATGGAGGTGGTGAACTATAATTTTGGAAAAGAAGGTGATTAGGATAAAATTCATCCACGCCTCCGCATGTTTGCATTAGTTTCAAGTTGTGCCTCTGGGAATGAAGCTGTGAGAGAGAAGTGGTGTTCAAAGAACTATGTGCAGCAGATTGTGAAAAGTGATGGCCTCAGCACCTTGGGATTAGGGTCAAGAGGGTGAATTGTGATGCCACGTTTTTGGTGTCTTAGACCCGTGGTCGGTAAACTGTGGCTCGAGAGCCACATTCGGCTCTTTGGCCCCTTGAGTGTGGCTCTTCCACAAAATACCAGGTGCGGGCGTTGATGGGAATGAGGTAGTATTCGTCAGTGTTACCCAGGCTTGTAAATTTCCACTTGCATTGGTAAGGAAGAAGGGTAAGAGATAAGTAGATTTCGGAGGTGGTGAACTATCTTTTTGGAAAAGAAGGTGATTAGGAAAAAAATTATCCACGCCATGGAAAATTTGCGTTACCTTTGATATTGTGCCTCTGGGAAAGAAGCTGTGTGAGAGCAGTGTTGTTCAAAGAATTATGTGCAGCAGGTAGTGCAAAGCAATGACCTCATACCTTGGGATTGGGATCAAGCTGATGCAGTGTGACGCCATGTTTTTGATGTCTTAGAGGAACAATCAGAAGGACAAGTCTATTTCTTGAAGAGACCAGTATCAAATCACTCACACTATTTTTATCATCAATATCCCTCTCTAACCTATGGTTTTGACACCCACTCTATTGATAAGAGGCAGTGTGGTATACATGGGAGTTCCAGAGCTCAGGTATCTTCTGCTCAACTGTCTTAATTGTTGTGGGAAGAAACTATCAGCAGAAATATAAGAAGACAGTGGCTTTCATAGGATGAAAGCCTGGTATTTAACATAATATGAAGAGTGGAAAGAAAAGATGGGTGGGGATTATGACAGACTTATAAACTTAGGAGTGAATCTGATCATGGGCTGAACTGTCCCCATTATGACAGGATATGAACTTTAAGGACGTGGCCATTGCCTTCTCTCAGGAGGAGTGGGGGCTCCTTGATGAGGCTCAGAGACTTCTGTACTACGATGTGATGCTGGAAGTTTTTGCACTTGTATCATCTCTAGGTAAGACCTCCACATTCTCCCAGTGTCCTGAGGTGATGACCTCTCTTCCTTTATTCCTCAGCTGTAGCTTTCTCTCTCCCACAGCCAGAACATTGCCTCTGCTAATGTCCCCCACTGTCCTGTCAAATGTGCTGTGGCTGCCAGGGATAAGCTGGATGGGGAGTCCTGAGTAAAGGACTCCATGAACATCCCTAACACCCATAACCTCAAAAAGTGCAGGAAGTGTTAGGGAATCAGGAGTCTTGCAGTGAGCTTAATGGGTCCCAGCTTGTAGTTTCTCTTCATGGGAGGCTGACAGTGTCCACATGCATTGCTTCCACTTCTGCACTCTTTCTCTAGGTAAAGGTTCTTAATGGTAGCCTGTGCCATGTTATGGTCTTTACCTACATGAACCATGGGCTGTTCTCGTAAGGCCCCCATTCAGATGTTTGTAATATTTTCTTCCCTGAATACTATAGCAAGCTGTATTGCTCTGGCCCAGTGGAGACTGCTCATTTCTGTATCACCTGTTTCTCTGCCTTGGTGCCTCTGCATTATTCTGCAACATTATTCTTGCACATGAGTTATGAAGTGCACATAAGTGCTAATTACCAGCTATTCCATTATTGAATTTTACTTGGAGTAAGGCAGAATCAACCTCTTGCACAGCTCGCCCTGGTCCCCAGCAGATAAGCCATGCTAAATGCTGTTAGTTGAAGTATTAGCTGGAGATCCATATTCTATTCCATGTGGTGCTTGCCATGTTTGTGTCATATTTCTGGTGAGGCCTCTCTGTGTTGTGATCTTCATTAGCCCAGAAAGTCATGAGAGTCTCTTATTAATCCTTCCTGCACATCTCTTATTTTCAGACATTTTCATGGGACCAAGGTGTGATGTGTAACACACTTTTGCAATGGGAAGTCCCCCTGTCACACATTCAACAGTCATTTCCTCACCATTTCTCACTTTTCAGGTTGTTGGCATAAAATGGAAGATGAGGAGGCCTGTTCAATTCAGAGTGTATCTATACAAGGAGAGTCAAAGGTCAGGGCTTCTAAGACAGCTCCAGCCACCCAGAAGATCCCTCTGTGTAAGCAGTGTTTCTCTGTGTTAAAAGATATTGTGCACCTGACTGGGTCACATGCAGCATACTTTGAGCAGAAAGCCTTCTGTACTGATGTATGTGTTGGAGACTTCTGTTTCAGTGCAAACCCTCACCAGCAACAGAGGAATGAATGTGGAGAGGAGCCCTGGAAAGATGCTATGGACGGGGCCTCCTTTGTAAGCAGGTGCAGCTTCTCCTTATCTTCAGTGCCTTCAGCCAGCAGGGAGGTTGGGGAAGACTTGCAATACAACTCACAGCTTCCCCAGCACCAGGCCACTCTCAACACTGAGGAGCTCCACTGTGGCAGTGAGATTTCACAGGAATTGCTTGATGCAAGAAGTCCTCACCAGTGGGGTGAATGTGAAAACGCTGCCAGCCACAACCTGAAAGTTGTTCAATGTCAGGGTGTGTGTTCTGGGGAACTGATTTATGAATGTAACAAATGTAGGAAAGTGTTTAGACGAAACTTGAACGTCATTCGACATAAGAGAGTTCACACTGAAGAAAAGCGATACGGGTGTAATGAATGTGGGAAGTTCTTCAGAAAAAGACCCGCACTCAATAAACACCAGAGAGTTCACACTGGAGAGAAGCCATATGAGTGTACAGAATGTGGAAAGTCCTTTTGTCTAAGGGCTAACCTCGCTAGACACCTCAGAGTTCACACTGGAGAGAAGCCATATGAGTGTACAGAATGTGGAAAGTCCTTTTGTCTAAGGGCTAACCTCGCTAGACACCTCAGAGTTCACACTGGAGAGAAGCCATATGAGTGTACAGAATGTGGAAAGTCCTTTTGTCTAAGGGCTAACCTCGCTAGACACCTCAGAGTTCACACTGGAGAGAAGCTGTATGAGTGTAGAGAATGTGGGATGTCCTTTTCTCAAAGGTATCACCTCACTAGGCACCTCAAAGTTCACACTGGAGGGAAGCCATATCCATATGAGTGTAGAGAATGTGGGATGTCCTTTCGTCTAAGGGCTCACCTCACTGTACACCTCAGAGTTCACACTGGAGAGAATCCATATGCGTGTAGAGAATGTGGGATGTCCTTTTGTGAAAGGGATCACCTCATTGAACATCAGACTGTTCACACTGGAGAGAAGCCATATGAGTGTAGAGAATGTGGGATGTCCTTTCGTCGAAGGGCTCATCTCACTGATCACCTCAGAGTTCACAATGGAGGGAAGCCATATGAATGTACTGAATGTGAAAAGTCTTTTACCCAAAAAAATAGTCTTATTAAACATCTGAGAGTTCACACTGGAGAGAAGTGTTAAATGTGTGGGGAGTGTTTTATTTTATTCACTTAGAATAACAACAGTGATGGTGACTCTTTGGGACCTATTTTCCTGAATTTAAACCCCTTTTTAATGGAACATACACTCTGCTAGATTTCTCCTAAGTTTCTGGTACAAGTGAGGCTTGAAGGAGGTGAATTGCACTTGGTAAGATGCCCAGAACTAATACCTGATTGATTTGTGGCTGAAGAGATTTTGAGAAAGCTAACCCCTATTTTGTAAAACTACTGTTTGGAATTCTCTGCCATTCTTTAGACGGTCTCTTATTCTAAAAAAAAATAACTTTGCTTTCTAGCCTGCTTTAGCCTGCTTGAATAATGAGGAAGATAAACTTAGCTGTCTGACCTTGTAGGCCAGAGACTAGATACACCCATACTCTCAATGCCATGCCAGGTGTATTTTTTAATTGGATAGAACTGTAATGTTTTAAAGGCCACCAGCGAGATAACCACTAAGCACACATAGGGCTGGCTCTTTAATAAAAAGGGAAGTTGTGCTTGTAGCTCTGCTTAGAATTTGAATTCATTTCCTCTAAGCCCACTGCGGTGAATAAAGTGTGACTCCAAACTCTCTGAGCATTGCTTGATTTATTCCGGTTCTCTGTAACAATTTCCCCTTTACCACCTGGCTCACCTGAAGAGTGTGTATCAGTCCCAACCCCTGCGTGCTCAGGGGAAATGTATTCTGTGTTCTCACTTGTTCTTGAGAACATTATGATAACTCCAGCTCTTGACACGATCATTATTCATTTCTCTCTGATGGGGTAATGCACCTGGGTTCATCAAGGGCACCGGTCCTCAGCTAATAGGTGCTGCCTCTTTCACAGACATGTGGTTCGCACATTATGCTGTGATGAATTGTTCCAGGTTCTAATTCACCAACCTGCAAACCGCTTGCTGTCCTCTGTTCTGGTTTATGATCTTTTAGTAAAGATGTTTTTTTCTTTTGTACCTTTAATTTGTTATATTCACTTCCAGGGATGATTTTCAAGCACGATTGTGATCTGTCATCATGTAGATTTAACAGATATTGTGTGGATCCAAAACTTTCTGTGCTTTCGGAGGGATAGCATAATGCAAGGAAATAATTCCTTGACCAATATTGGTCATATTGCATTGCTGCCCAAGGCCGTGAAATAAAGACTGTGTGACTTTGTGGTTCTAACCTGCAGATTTGATCCTTGCCCCTATAGGGCTATGTAGGAGGCATCTATTTTTTTTTTCTCTCAGTCTCTCTCTTTCTGTCCCCCTTCCCTTGCACTCTGTCTAAAAATCAATGGAAAAATATCCTCAGATGAGGATTCCAAAAAAACCCAAGCATTCACCCTGGTGTCCTGAGATGGGGCCTCTGCCTGCACAGCCCCCCTTTGCTCACTCTTTCCTGCCCTTTCCTGGGTTGTTCCCACTGCAGCTGGGCTCACTGTCCCCTCCCAGGGTTTAGTAGAGAGGAGGCCCAGGCAAGGCCCTGGGAGGGGTTTGGGTTCTGTGTCTGCCTAAGATGTGCTGGCCAGGGCTCTTCTGTCTCCATCCAGTGCTCCCTCCAGCCTGCTCTTCCCCACCCCCAGGCACCTGGCCTGCTGCAAATGAACCTACTGTATTTGGGAGAAGCCCCGTGATGCTAGGGGCCCCCAAATCAGTTCACCTTTAGAAAATCCTGCCTTCAGCCAACCCACTCACACCTCTGAGGCCCACTGGTGTTTGAGTCAATTTTTTTCATTTTAGGGATTATTTTACACTTTAATTTTTTAAAAATATAGCACACCACTCCCCCACCCCATTGCACAGCCAGTCCTGGAGGTAGCATGGGTTCTCCAGGATATGGTGCTGTGTGTTTTCAATGGTGAGAACATTCTGCAATACAAGTGTTTCAGAAGGAGAGGCTTGGTCTCAATATAATTCCACATTCGGAGGATAGGTTGCGGTTGGTGTGCCCCCTCCCTAAGTTTTGCCTGTGCATGGAAGACCTGCAATGAGGGGATAGTTCCTGGATTCTGGGAAATAGTATGCTGCTGGGGTGTGTGGTTGAGGGGCATAGAGGTTGGGTGCCTGTGAACGTGTTTCTGCCAGCTCATGGGCCAGGTTCCTTGAGTGGATGGGCTGAGGGAAGTCTGTAGGGATGAGAACTTGAATCAGACTGGATGGAGGGTCAGCAGCCATGGGTGGGCATAAGGGACACATATAAAGACTGAGGCTGTGGAGACTGTTGAGCCCAACTGTTTCAGATTCCCCAAATACAGAGTCCCCTGTTCTTGGGAACTGGCATCTAGTGGAGGACAGTACCAATGGACCAGGATACCTGTGACAGGTGACAGCAGCTATGGGGAGAGGTGAAACCAGCGTTGGTCAGTGGGGTCTTCACTGAGGAAGTCTGGGGAGGGGTGGCAGGCTCCAGGTGGGAGCCTGCAGGGAGCCTGTCCTGTGCATTTGTGAGTTGCGGGGGAGGGGGGGGGTCACTCTGGCTGGTTTTAACAGCAAAGATCAGAAAGTGGTAAAAATAAATAAATAAATAAATAAATGGTGGCCAAATAGGCACAGGTTTTGTGCATCTCGTCCTGAGCCAGACTGGAAATACAATTAAATCAAAGAACATCCACCTGGCATTAACAAATTACATGCAGCTGAGCAGACAGTTTACAACAAGGAAGGGCAGAGGATGCCTGGAGAATGGCAAGAACTGGGAAGTGGGCTTGAAAAGGACTGCCAGCCAGTGGGCCCAGAGGGTGAGGAGAAAGCTGTGTTTTACCAAAGCTGTGTCCTTTCATGACGCGGGTATCACCCAACTGTGTAAGGAAAAGCCACAGGGCAGCTGGCTGCCAGGGAAACTGGACCAAAGGCAAAAGCCCCAAAAGGCTGCCCCATGAAAGGAGGCCCAAGCAGCGCGGTGCTGGGGAGAGACCAAAGAGCAGTTTCATTGTTTTGTCTTTGCATTTATTCTCTAAACCCAGAACACAGGACTTTTTTATTGCAAACACTCACCCAGGGATTTAGAGCTGGGAGAGAGGCACAGCCTTGAGGTGCCTGAGGAGAGGCTGAGGAGGAAAGCAGGGCAGGGAGACATAGCCAAGAGTCCTGCTTTGGGACATTCTTTTAAAAAATTCTTTATGTTTAAAATTATAACATGTCTCCTTGCCCCAATTGACCTCTCCCCAGCTGCTCCTACCCCCCAGCACATACCCTCGCCCCTTACTGTCTATGTCCAATGGTTATGCTCATTTGCAAGCATGCAAGTCCTCCGTTTGATCTTTTATCCCTTCTCCTCCCCGCCTTCCCTCTTAGTTTGGATGGTCTGTTCAATGCTTCTATGACGCTGCCTCTATTTTTGTTCATCAGTTTATGTTGCTCATTATATTCCACAAATGAGTGAGATCATACAATATTTATCTTTCTCTGACGGCCTTATTTCCCTTAGCATAATGCTCTAGGTCCATTCATGCTTTTGCAAATAGTAAGAGTTCCTTCTCTTTTTACAGCAGCATTGTGTAGATGTACCACAGTTATTTAATCCATTCATCTGCTGCTGGACATTTAGGCTGTTTCCAAATCATTATAACTATGATTGTGCTGTTATGAACATAGGGGTGCATATATCGTTTCTGATTGGTGTTTCTGATTTCTTGGGATATATTGCTAGAAGTGTGACAGTCTTAGCTTCCAAACCTAAACAGCCATTTCTCTCCATAAGAGCTAGCCTCTCCCAGTAGGCTCAGGGCCGGAGATACAGCCTGCCACACCCTGCATTTCGAGCTTTACAGAGGAAACAAAGGAAGAGGCCAAGCTTATTGGTCTGAATAGTCTCTAAAAGCCCAGTGACTGGATTGGAAGCAAGGCTCGTCCACCCTGCTATTTGGGGAATCAGACTGATAAAAACTCCAGGTTGCCAGCCAACCCCCATTGGTCTCAATACAAGGATCTCTGACCAGCCAAGACAAGAGTAATATTTTGGGACACATGTGGAGGAGCAACTCTGGGTCAGGAAAAAATAACCATCTTATTCCCTGAAAGAGAAACAGCACCATCCCCACCTAAAGCCCTGTCAGAAACAGATGCTTGAGTGATTAAATCTGAAGGCCAGACACAGGCAAGGAGGGCAGATTGGCCCTGCCTGCTTCCAGCCATGGCCTGTGGAGACAGACACAAGCAGAAGACCTGTGAATCGCTTGGAGCTTCAAACAGGGAGCTAAAAGCCAAAGGCAGTGACTGATAGGGCCAGCACCTCAGTACCTAACAGGAAGCCCAAAATTAGCAGACAGAACAGAAGAGTGGGGTCCTACACCAGCAGCCATGGGGCTTTAAAATTCACCCGAAGTGAACGACACTTCACTTTTTTATTTTCATTATCTTAAAAATTTTATTATTGTTTTTACTTTCATCTTATTTTCTATACCTTTTTCTTTCTCACTTGTTATTCCCATTTTTCATCTCTTTTACCCATTTTAGGTTTTGTATTTTCTTTCTTTGTTTCCCCTTTTTACAAATGGATCTACTTTATCTGCTTTATTGATGTGTTATTATTCTAGTCTCTGTTGGTTTATTCACATATCTAATTTCCTCTTCCCTGATCCTACTCCATTTCCCCTTCTCTTTTCTTTTTCTTCACTATGCTTTTTATTTTATTTCTCTCTTGTCTTGCTCTTCTCTTAATTTTTAAACTTGCTTCACTTCTTAAATGTAGGGCTTTCTGCTGTCTCCTCTAATCTCCTTTGCAAAAAAATTTTTATTTGCCTTCTCATTTCTTTTCTTCATCTTCTGTTGTAAACTGTTGTCCTTCCCCTATTTATCCAATTCCTTAACCTTATTTTCTTTATTTAAGCTCAGCATCTACAGATTTTGCCACTCCCATTTTTTTCTGGGTGTTTCTTATTTGTGCCTTTTGCTTTGTTTGTTTTGTTGTGTTTTTTCTTCCCCTATTTTTTCTTTTTTTTCTCCTTGCTATCATTCTTGTTCTCTTTTCTCTTTCCTAATTATCTTTCCTCTGGTGGTCACTTTTGTCAGGGTTATAGGTGCCTTGTGTACATTCGTGTTCTGTTCTTTCTGTGTCATGTCTTATCCTGTTGTATTTTGTGCATTTGTCCCAGCGCCTCCACATCTGTTGGCACAACGTGGTAGGAAGCCAGCCACATAATCAGACACCCTGAGAAGAGTCTCCATTTATGAAATGGACAATAACATTCAAGACCTAATTACATCAGAATAACCCAAATATTTCAAGTAGGATGCCTCCCTAGAATACCCAGTCCTGGTGACCTGAGAGACTGCACCACTAGGTACTACA